ACACCCGCTAATTTCTGTCTCCTCCCTTCTCTCACACTGATTCTCATCTATCATCGGTTCCTGGTGTGGTGGGCCGTAACCTGACTTCGCTCAATTCTGTCACCGTCGGCTCTGAACATGTGGCACGTGTGTGCGTGTTGATGTCCTGCTGCATTTAATTTTAATATTCCTATTTATAATAGATGTGCTTGCCCTTTCAGGAGTTTCAGCATTTATTTGGTTGGATGAGTGATTCCGTTCAGGATAGGTTGTCCTCCTCGAGCCGCTGCGTCTACGTTTGTCAGCCCCGTTGATCCTGCCCTGCTCCGAAGCCCCGGAGCGTTACGGCTGGTTGAGCTCTAGACCCGATCGGACTGGGAATCTCCTATTTCCTGCAGTTGCAATTATCTCTTTGTGTTTTCCTTCACTTATACAGGTCCTTCTCAAAAAATTAGCACATTGCGATAAAGTTCATTATTTTCTGTAATGTACTGATAAACATTAGACTTTAATATATATTAGATTCATTACACACAACTGAAGTAGTACAAGCCTTTCATTGTTTCTAATATTGATGATTTTGGCATACAGCTCATGAAAACCCAAAATGGTCAGTAAACCGTTTACCAGCGGTTTTGGCACTGTGAGCAGGTGCCAGGTGTCATGACTCGAGTTAAGTGTCTAAACCAAGACATGCAGAATCAATACTCGTCGGGCAGATTGAGTAAAAGTAAAGTTCTTTATTATTAAACGGGGCCAAAAATAGCACAGGGAAGTCCTGTGGAAGTGAGCGGTACAGCTCGAGTCCAAGTTGCGCTCGGGATAAATGAGGGAGGCGGGGGAGCCGAGGTGAGCGCTAGGCAGAGGGTGAGCGATCTGGGGTGGTGAGGTCGCAGAGGGGCGCCAACAGGAACAACGGAGGAGGATGGGTCGTGGTGTATGAATCCAGAGTACAAAAACAGCGAGTGGGAAGCAGGTGGAGTGAGGATCCTGAAGGGAGGGAAACAAACACCAGGCGTAAGGGATAATCCAAAAACAGTCCGAGGTCAAAATCCAAGTATCCAATAACAAGAACAAGCGGGCAAACAAGAATGAGTACAAAGGGCTGAGGCTACCTAAATTGGTGCAATCATCCGGCGTAGTGAGGTGTCTCCATCCTCCTTTTAAACCCGCGTTCCTGATTGGAATCTCCTGCAGCTGCCGCCCCCTCCGCTCCTCACCTGTGGGAAATCAGCTCAATCATGGTTAGAGTGGAGATGGTGTCACTCACCTCTGCCCGGGTACATGACACCAGGTCGTGCTGAAAAATGAAATCATCTCCATAAAGCTTTTCAGCAGATGGAAGCATGAAGTGCTCCAGAATCTCCTGATAGCTAGCTGCATTGACCCTACCCTTGATAAAACACAGTGGACCAACACCAGCAGCTGACATGGCACCCCAGACCATCACTGACTGTGGGTACTTGACACTGGACTTCAGGCATTTTGGCATTTCCCTCTGCCCAGTCTTCCTCCAGACTCTGGCACCTTGATTTCTGAATGACATACAAAATTTGCTTTCATCCAAAAAAAGTACTTTGGACCACTGAGCTGCTTCTCTGTAGCCCATGTCAGGCACTTCTGCCGCTGTTTCTGGTACAAAGGTGGCTTGACCTGGGGAATGCAGCACCTGTAGCCCATTTCCTGCACACGCCTGTACACGGTGGCTCTGGATGTTTCCACTCCAGACTCAGTCCACTGCTTCCGCAGGTCCCCCAAGGTCTGGAATCGGTCCTTCTCCACAATCTTCCTCAGGGTCCACTCACCTCTTCTCGTTGTGCAGCGTTTCCTTTTCTGCCACACTTTTTCCTTCCCACAGACTTCCCACTGAGGTGCCGTGATACAGCACTCTGGGAACAGCCTATTCGTTCAGAAATTTCTTTCTGTGTCTTACCCTCTTGCTTGAGGGTGTCAATGATGGCCTTCTGGACAGCAGTCAGGTCGGTAGTCTTTCCCATGATTGCGGTTTTGAGTAATGAACCAGGCTGGGAGTTTTTAAAAGCCTCAGGTATCTTTTGCAGGCGTTTAGAGTTAATTAGTTGATTCAGATGATTAGGTTAATAGCTCGTTTAGAGAACCTTTTCGTGATATGCTAATTTTTGGAGATAGGAGTTTTGGGTTTTCATGAGCTGTATGCCAGAATCATCAATATTAGAAACAATGAAAGGCTTGAACTACTTCAGTTGTGTGTAATGAATCTAATATATATGAAAGTCTAATGTTTATCAGTACATTACAGAAAAGAATGAACTTTATCACTATATGCTAATTTTTTAAGAAGGGCC